ACCTTATTTCAGCACAGCCTACCTTATTGCAGCACAGCCTACCTTATTGCAGCACAGCCTACCTTATTGCAGCACAGCTTACCTTATTGCAGCACAGCCTACCTTATTTCAGCACAGCCTACCTTATTGCAGCACAGCCTACCTTATTGCAGCACAGCCTACCTTATTGCATCACAGCCTACCTTATTGCAGCGCAGCCTACCTTATTGCAGCACATCCTACCTTATTGCAGCACAGCCTACCTTATTGCAGCGCAGCTTACCTTATTGCAGCGCAGCCTACCTTATTGCAGCACATCCTACCTTATTGCAGCACAGCCTACCTTATTGCAGCGCAGCTTACCTTATTGCAGCGCAGCCTACCTTATTGCAGCACATCCTACCTTATTGCAGCACAGCCTACCTTATTGCAGCGCAGCTTACCTTATTGCAGCGCAGCCTACCTTATTGCAGCACATCCTACCTTATTGCAGCACAGCCTACCTTATTGCAGCGCAGCTTACCTTATTGCAGCGCAGCCTACCTTATTGCAGGACGGGCACTTTGTGATGGAGATGTCAGGGATCATGTTTCGATAGTAGGTGCTGCGTAGCGGCTTCGACCAGCGACACACGATGACGTCGGATCGTTCCATCGCTCGCAGGATGTCGCGACCGACGATGATCGGGTGATACTCAGAGCCTGCCTGCTGTGCAGAGACACGGGGTCGTCACATACATCATCAATGCCACCGTCGCCGCGGCCAGTAACAGCAGCAGCATCAACAACAGCAGCAGCAGTAGCAGGATCCGCAGCAGAACCACCACCACCACCACTATCCCAAGTAGCAGCAACAGCTATAGTAGCAGTAGTAGCAGCAGCAGCACAAGCAGCAGCAGCAGTAACACCACCGCCACCACCACCGGCAGCAGCAGCAGCAGCAGCAGCAGCAGCAGCAGCAGCAGCAGCAGCAGCAGTACCACCACCACCACCACCACCGGCAGCAGCAGCAGCAGCAGCAGCAGTACCACCACCACCACCACCGGCAGCAGCAGCAGCAGCAGTACCACCACCACAACAAGCAGCAGCAACACCACCACTGCTGCCTGCCACCACCACCACCACCGCCGCCACCACTAGCACCATCATTATAACAGGCTTCCATATATGTTTGAATGTGCTACAGTCCCAGAGCAACCCCCAACGTCAAGACCTAATCATGGAATTATATAAAAATAATAATTACAATGAATGATGACGCTAGTACCAGACAATCCCGTCACATATGATGATTATTTGTGAGGGGCAGGATGGTGCCTTAATAAGACATCTATTTAAGGTACATGACTTATTATCTATTCTTCTACTAACCTGGGATTTTTTTCCGAAAACGCGAGTCCACAGCTCCTAAAGCTTATTACATTGTCATTCTTCAAACGACATCGTACGTTAACAAGGCACTTATAACCAAGATGGCCAACTTTGTTTGAATTTTGCTTGAACTTTCCCTGACCTTAAAAAGCATTTCCCTGACTTGCATGAAGAACTATGATCCTTGACAATATTTCTCTTTGTTTTAAATTCAATATTACACATAATGATCCCAAGATAATGATTGAGCGTCGTATGTTGATGGGTCGGACGTGGACGTTATTCCACGACACTTCCCTGACATTTGGATATTTGAGAGAAAGAATTTCTCGACTTGTTGTCCACGACACTTCCCTGACATTTGGATATTTGAGAGAAAGAATTTCTCGACTTGTTGTCTCTGACTCTCTTATGAAATGTAACCCCGAGCTTCCCCCTCCCCATCAAAGGGCTCTCATGCGAACAGACTACTGAACTAAGCAGATCGTAATCTGCATTGCTCACGTTTCAAATCACATTGCTGAGTGGGTAGCAGTCACAATACAGGACGTCCCTCGAGGGTCGCTCGGGCGAGTGAGCCGCACAACCAGAGATTCACTGAGCCGGAGATTAATAAATACTATGGCTCACCTGATCACAGGGGTGATTGACATTTAATCAGAAAGGCTGAGGGAGAAGGAATTCGTGCCGCGAAGCAATTGAGTTAATTAGTCGATGTGACTCCTTAGTACCGCAAATAGCTGCCTCGCGTAAGGATGCGCTGTGTCACGGCGACAGTAACGAGCCAGTAAGCTGTAGCATTATTCTGGGAGGGGGGAGGGGGAGGTAATTATGAGGAACAAGTGCGTCGCACCTTTCGCAATTTCAATAAACGCTCCTGGTGTATTAATGTTGAAACTATTGAAATCTATCGAGTTTTTCAGCGAACCATCTCCGGTAGTTGTCAATGTTTAATTTCGCCTTGTCGAGCCAAAACATTAATTAATGTAATTAATCGACAGTTCGATGCATCGTTACATAATACTCCTAATGAACTTTGTGTGACCTCACAAGAGCTGTGTGCGGTGACCCCCCCCTCGTGTTATTACTCTTACTCATAAGCACGGCGGAGTTACAACCAGATATAGGTCTCAGTTGACACTTCTTAGATGGCAGCCACTGTAGTGAATGTCACACGGGTAGACTGACGCGACGGTTTTTCGAGATTAAGTGCTTTTGCGCAAAACGAAACGATTGACGAATTGATGGTGAGAGCATCATACGGGTGACATGGCGGGCTGTGATTAACTCACTCATCCCTCATCATCAACCGCTGCGTCCCGTCACGGGGCTGTACACCGTGGCAGCCCGTACCAACGACAACAACGCCTCCTCGCGACGCCGATATGAACTTATTACGTCTAAATTTCTCGCGACATCATCGATTCGTTAGTTACCCATCATTCCCGACAAAGATTACCGATAAAATATAGTGGGCAGTATTAGTCGGCGGCCCCTGTCTGAGCTGTAATGCTATTAAATTCAGATTTTTTTTTTGCACGTACATTTTTTTCTAGGACGCATCTTGTCTCGCGTGCAGTGTCTTATGCGTCAGCAGGGGAATACTGATAACTGCGCAATCTCGTTACAGCTCGGCGTGTTAATATCAAGGTGTCCGCGTCTCAAAGCGGCATCACGAAAGAGACTTAAGCAAGACGAGTGGGATGGAAACGTGATTGAGGGAGAAGACGAGAAGAAGAAGGAAGAGGAGACCTCGACTGACAAACAAACCGTAAATAGCTTGACGTGTAATTGCGTGCGTGATGCATTTACGGCTGGCGCGTGAGGCACAGAGCAACACACACACACATACAGAGAGAACTTATTATAGTACTGAGGGATCACAACATCGCCTCTATAAATACAAGACGCATCACCGAACGTCACGTAGAAGTAGCAGTAGCAGCAACAGCGGCAGCAGCACTACCAACAGCAGCAGCAGCAGCAGCAGCACTACCAACAGCAGCAGCAGCAGCAGCAGCACTACCAACAGCAGTAGTAGCAGCAGCAGTAGTAGTAGTAGTAGTAGTAGTAGTAGTAGTAGTAGTAGTAGTAGTAGTAG